ACTATATAACGTCCATTAACTTGTCATCGGGATTTTTTCAAATGGACATAACACTAGAATCGTCTCGTTATACAGCTTTTAATACATGCTTTGGGCCTGATAAATTTTTGAGACTACCTATGGGTCTAAAAAGGTCACCCAATACATTTCAACTGTTAATGACCAGGGTGTTACATGATCTTAAATTCAAATCTTGTTTATGTTATTTTAATGATATTTTAATATGTTCCGAGACTTTTGATCAGCTTATTTCTGGTTTAAATGAAGTACTTAGCCGTTTTGGTGATGCAGGCTTGAAGCTAGGACCGAAAAAGAGTTCTTTTGCGGCACAATCATGCGTTTGTTTAGGTCATCTTATTTCCAAAGATGGAATATTGCAACCTGCAGATCGCGTTTAAGCAATTCATGAGTACCCTGCACCTCGAAATGTAAAAGAACTTAGAAGACTTATTGGACTTTTTAACTGGTTCAAAAAATTTATTCCGAACTATAACGCGACAATTAGCCCTCTTTATAGACTTTTGAAGAAGAATCAAACATTCAAATGGGGAAAGGAAAAAGACATAGCATTTAACGATTTAGAATATCGCCTTGTCAAATCTGAAATGTTGAGTTCTCCTCAATTAAATATGCAGTTTCGTTTGAGCGTTATTACATCTTATCGTGGAATAGGGTATATGTTGTACCAACTTGATCCAGAAGACAACACTTTTAGACCATGAATTATTCGTTTTGGATCTAAAAATCTTAGTAGTTTTTACCAATCATATGGGCCAACTAAATTAGAGCTCTTAGGGATGGTTGTTAGTATATTGGATTGTTCCGACTATCTAAGAGGAAACCAGTTTATTGTGGAATGCGACCATCACGCGCTGAAGCCTTTATACCAAAAGCAATTTACGGCTGCGATTTACGAACCTTGGCTTTCTATTCTTCAACAATTTAATTTCGAAATAGTATAAAAGAAAACAGATCAAATGGAAGCACCAGACGCTTTGTCGAGATGCGAAAATCGCCGTGAAGAAATAGTCGAAAGTCCCGTGGAATATGACAAGTGCTTTCCTTTCGTTCCGGACAAAATTTGACATTTAACATAACCTAACGTTCAAAATTTATCAATTCATTTCAAAACAAATTAGAGGCTGTTCTGGCTATACATGTGTCAACAGAATAACAACAATCAGAGCATTCTGATCCATAGGATGCCAATACAGATAAACCGAAAGATGGAAATAAACAATTTAAGCTAATTATAAAACCACAGCGCATATTTCATAAATCGTCCAAATTAGATACGGACATTGGTTCTGATAAAATTTTAGCGAAAATTTCTATGCCTATCAATAACATCAAAGAGTTTCAGCATCAAGATCCGTTAATGTATCCAATTATAGACTATTAAGAAAACGATATACTTCCAGATTTACAAAAGGAAGCAATATGTGTTCTATTGAAGTCTAACGATTATGCGCTCATTCATGACATGCTGTACTATTCAAGAGTTGCAAAATCTAAAAACAACAAGATGATGTCATGTTATCAAATTGCTATACCTCTGATGATTCGCCTCTCGGTGGCCATGCCGGAATGAACAACAAGTTGACAGGGCTAAGGAACATTTCGTTTTTCCAAGGATGGGAAAAATCATACAAACATGTAGTTTTTGCCAAGTTAGGAAGATTACAAATTTTCAAACCAAGCAAGCCATTGTGTCTTTCCAACTCCGTCTGAACCATTCTAAGTGTAACTAATCGATTTATGTGGTCCGTTTCCAAAGTCAGTAAATGGACATACTTATGTTCTCACTGCGTTCAACATGTTCAGCAAATTTATAGTTGCGCATCCATTGAGGAATTATGATGCTTTGACAGTTTGTGAAGTAATTTATCGTATGTTTACTCAGTTTGATCTGTGCCGAACTTTAGTTTCAGATCGTGGCTCAGAGTATGTAAATCAATGACTTTGTAAACTTTTAGAAGTGACACGCTTAACGGCGCATGTGATACCGTGATGAAAAGTTTCTAAGTGAATTAAGTTCATGCGATGGAGCTCAGGAAAAGATTAAGCGAATCCTGGCTAAGAAACCAGTTGGTGCAGTTCATAGGCGAGCCTGTACAAAACGAAAATTGGAAACCGTTGTCGGAGCTACCACCGAAAGCCCAGGAAATTATTAGTGCTATGACAACCCTGCAAGTGCAGTATCGTGATTTTTTCGATAATGTTCGATCACTGATTCGTGTGATTATCATGCATTCAATGCACATAATGTTTTTACACATTGATATATATTAATTATTCGGTGATAATTGTATCGCCAAAGTGTAGTTTTAAACCGTTTACTATCGGTTTTTTTTTCAATGTTTTTGTAAATACGTTCAAATTATTCAGTACTACGAAGATGTTTGGTGATGATTGCATCGCCACACTTGTTTGACAAAGATTTTTATAATAACCGGTGACGATTGCAACAACAAGGGCAATCGCATAAACAATTTAAAGATTCCCGTAAAATTATCGAACTGTCTTGGATTAAACGACTGCAGACAGCATATCCCCTGGGTCTAAATGACATTATACTGGGACAAGGGAACATATCTTAAACTTCTTCTTTTGATATCATGAATATTGTTGATAAAAGACAACGTAATAATAGGTCTCATGGCAATGTATCAATCGAAATCAGAGAATTAAACATCGTATAAATTATACACTTGATGATCTCCTATCTATATTTACAAACAATGGTATGTATCAATTATCATGTAAAATGGGTCAAATACCAGTTAGTAGATTACATGATATTTTCAAGGAGTGTGACACAATCTCGTTCTTCAGCACATTCTATTAATATTCGCGTATAATTACAGCTTTTTTTCACCATAGTCTGTTCCCGCGTTCCGATAAACATGAAGATCATATAAACGGCATTTCTGAAAATTAAATATTTTAACAGAGGTATTGATTTCATCAACTCATCGAGTATATTTAATGACTCTGCCATTCAAAACTTAATTCCTCTCTATTTTGATTAGACAGATCAACCTATTATTTCGAATATATACAAAAAAAAAAAAAACAGCAGAAGTTTAATTTTTAATTATACGTCAGTAACATCAGACGACAGTGTAGAAAATGAATATCCTCTAACTTAAGACTGTGAATCGTCGAATTTTAGATATGACCACTATGGCCATGTTACTACGGGGGACCTCAATATCGTTCCAGACTAAGAGGTATATTTTTGAAACAAAAATACCAAAATATCGTCCTCCATCTAAAGTAGATTTGAAACAGTGTTGACAGGTCACAAAAGATGCTCTTTCATCGTATTGTAAAAATTGGTGTCAACGTGAAAAATTTGATAAGAAATCTCTTGATTCTTATTTAAATAAATGTATGAATGTTGTTGACTTTCACATTTTGAAAATAATTTAGAAATGAATAAAAGATTACATAATACGCATTTTTCTAAAATAAGAAATAATTTTCAAGTACTTTGAAAGCGGTTTGTGTTTGTACCAGTCGACAAAGCAGCTAACAATGTGGTGGTGGTATGCCGTAAATGCTACACGGACGTTCTTAAGACTGCAATTTTAAAATCTTGTACATTCAAGTCCGTGCACTCCACAGAGAGTCATATAGTAAACAATCATATCATAACCACATCACATCTTAATGCTTCTTCTTAACATTTGAAGGTCCCTATTATGTATTGGTTACCTAAACTACAACAACAAAAAACAGTAAAATATCGTTTCATCTCAGCCTCTAGTAAGTGTTCTACAATTAATCTTTTAGTGATTTTAACTAGTTCTTTAACTACTTATCATTAACTTTTGTAATAAAACAGTGTTATAAACTATTTTTGGAGTGTAAAAAATTCTTTGAATGTTTAAGATAAATTCCGTGCTTTTGATGGTCTTTTTGATTCTGTTGACAGTTTTCACTTTTCAACTCTTTCCACTTCACTTCCACACAATCTTATCAAACACAAGTTTTCCTATGTAATTAAATGGTCGTTTGGTAAAGTTGAATGCAAATATATATGCTGCAACTCATTTTACGCCTTCTTCTCTAATGAGAAAGGTAAATATTCTAGATGTACTTACTGAAGATGTAATGAGATGATTCAAGCTGCTAATCGTCTCCTTGATAATATTTATGTACGTTTTGGAGATAATGTTAATAAAGGTTGAGGTTATTCATATGGACACCAATCGCGCCCCTTTAATAGCAGACTTGTTCTTGTACTGTTATGAATCACAGTTTATGACCAAACTCAGTAAAGACCCGTCTAAATTGCATGTAATTGATAAGTTCAACAACACTTACCGTTATCTTGATGCTATTTGTTCGTTAAACATTCAAGAATGTTTTAAATATACTGCCGAAATTTACCCAAAGGAACTTACTTTAAATAAATCAAATATAAACGGTAATAACTGTCCTTTCCTAGATTAAGATATTTCAGTTTTACACGGGAAACTCTACACTAAAATTTACGAAAATAAGGGACGATTTTTCGTTCCCTATTGTTAATTTCCCTTTTTTTCGGATGGTGATGTTCCTTTTGCACCATCTTGCGGTGTTTATATATCACAACTCATTCACTATGCCCGTTTCTGTTGTGACGTTTTGAATTTTAATGAACGTAATCTATGTATTACTGGTAAATTATTAAGTTAGCAATTTCGTTACTACACATTACTTGGTTTTGAAGTTTGGTTTTAACTGTAGAAAACTTATTTCAAACGGGATATAACATTCTACTTTTACGCAGATGTTGTTTACCAAGCCCGGAAATTTAGATACGATACGGGTGAACTTATCGATCATTCAAAAAAACTTACTTCTCTGACTATATTGTTATATGTTTTAGATAGACCAATAGTCCATGCTTTCTCTTACTATAAAGGTATATGTTTCAGTTGTACCAACAGTCCATGCCTACTCGTACTCTCTAGAGAATGATTTACGGACATTATTATATACAACCAATAGTTACCAAGTGTTAAGTCGACCAAATTCATCAATAGAATTAGTATTGGCATTCACACCGACAGCTCTTAACTCTCTGGTAAGTGTTTCCTTTTTTATATCTACACAAATTTAGAAATATTCCTTAGGGTCCTTGATTTCTGTATATTTTTGTATGTCCTTTTCTCTATTATGTATATTTAATGGCCAATCTTCTCTATTCTTTATTTTATTTTGCCTATTTTCCTCTTTTCCATATATGTTTTGTCCTTTATTCTGCACTTTGTGCCCATTATTCTCTAGTCTGAAAATCCCATCCAGACCCTCAGTTATTGTTGAATACAAGCACAAAATTTATAGAATCAACATGTAATCTTTTTGGGTCTGTATTACTGTAGCAGAAACATAGAATCTTTCCCATTGTGTGTTTTTGTAAAAGTTGGGAATACGGTTTAAAACATGTCATCCGCAAACCCAAATGATGCTTAAATTCTAGTCTATAAGTAGATGCTGTTATCTTTGCCTATGACTTCAAAATGACCTTGTTTCTTCCTAATCTAATCATAATCAAAAGAAATATGGTGAAAGTACAATTCAAAAGACTTCAACAATTTCCTTAGTACAAAAGTTTGCAAAAATTTATTTCTTTTTCTAGACGCCATCAAGAGTTGGCCGTTATTGAGTATCTGTTTCACAGATGACGACGAATCTGTTACAATTATCGTAGCCGCAGTCCCGTCCTCTTTTCCTCGAATGTGACCTACCGAATTAGACGTAAAACCACGTTTGTACTTACATGAGCAACATGAAGGGTGCCACATGTGGATCAGGGTCGGCTTACTCTTCCGGGGCATCTGATGTTCGTGTTGCTCAGTCTTTAGTTTTTAATGTTGTGTTTTGTTTACAGTTGTTTGTCTTTTTGGTCTTTTTTTGCCATGGTGTTGTTAGTTCATTTTTGACTCATGATATTAAAAGTCGCCTCTCTTGAATAGCTGCTATGAACTTGACTTTTAAGACCTCACAGTCATTAGGGGATTCTCTCGACCCATAGGGCATTGTCAATTATTCTTTATGACCAAAACGAGTTCATCTGGAAACTGAACCTTTGAAGTAGTGTTGCTCGGATAGCAAGACGTTCGGATGGCTTTCACCATTTCGTCTTAACTCGGCTAAACATGATATACAACAATTAGAAATCACATCTCGTATTTACAGCACAAAATCGTTTGCACAGCCCACACCACAAAGTAGGATATAAAATTCATGCTAATTCAAAGGAGAAAAAAATGTTTTCTTTTTTTTGTGAGTTTGAGACGGTGGTCTTTTTTGTGAGGGGAGGGGGTAAAAGGTTGTCCAAAGTTACCTTTATACCAAACAAATTTGTGCAAGCTAATATCGTCACTAAGCATGTGTCGTTATTTTGCTTATTGTTAATTGTTATTTGCAAACTCTTCTGCACTGTAACTATGTAACTATAGCAACATGTGTACACAAGTAATTGAACCAAGATTTGCGGGAAAAAATGTGAAGCTCATGTGTTACTTCTTACTTATGAAAAGATTACTGCTCGATGCAATACCTTATTCGACCAATAGACAACCAACAATAATGAAACATTGCATAAATCTAAAGAAAGAGCAAAACGAACAACAAAAAAAATCGAGGATGAGCTCATGTGCCCCGGAAGAAACAAAACGACGAACACAAAAACCGAGGATGAGCTCATGTGCCCCGGATGGAGCAAAACGAACAACACAAAAACCGAAGATGAGCTCATGTGCCCCGGGAGGAGCAAAACGAACAACACAAAAAACATAGGATGAGCGCATGTACCGGAAGGAGAAGCAGTTCCTGCTCAAGAAAACAGTTGAATTAGTTTATTTTTTTTTCCTTTTTCAGAGCATAAAAGATCAAACAATGTCAATGACTGGATATTTTCAATTGGTAAGATATTGTAAATACTTGTAAAGTTTTCCTAAATATTTGGAAAATTGGCTTAAATATTTGATAATCAAGTTGTTTTAAATACTTGGTAAGTTTTTTTTAAATACTTGGTTAGTTTTTTTAAATACTTGGTGCGTTGTTTTAAAAACTTGATAAGTTGTTTTAAAGACTTTGTAAGTTTTTTAAAAACATGGTGCGTTGTTTTAAATACTTGATAAGTTGTTTTAAATACTTGATAAGTTGTTTTAAATACTTGATAAGTTTTTTTAAATACTTGGTGCGTTGTTTTAAATACTTGATAAGTTGTTTTGAATAATTGTTTTAAATACTTGATAAGTTTTTTTTAAATACTTGGTAAGTTGTCTAAAACACCTTGCACATTTCAATTAAACGATTCGGTCCGTACGTAATTACAAAATAGTTGCTCTTGTGGATATTTGCGGAGACGATACATACTGTGATATTATTGAGAAACAAATTACAAACATACAAGCCGCATGGAATTCATACTAAAAATGACGTTTCCTTCCAACAAAATTTTAATTTTTAATTAAAACGTTGTTCATTATGATGATAAATATGTTTATTCTAATTGTATCTTCTCCTTTCACATTGCATTTTTTATTACAGAGTTGGGACGAAGAAAGATTAGCATGGGATGCTGACCCTACATATAATTCAATACGCTACATCTTCAGTACATCTGAGTACACATGGCGGCCAACATTATTTATAGCGAACTCGTGAGTAAATGTGTCTTCAAACTTAAATATGCAACGCCTGCATGTTACAACTGTGTGCGCAAACAAATGTGCATCACCTTGATCGGGATTTCTTTCGCCGATATTGTCTGTATTTTATTCTGCAATCAATCTTTTTATTATGAAGGTAACATGAAGCGATATACGAACATTTAGGAGATAACTTTATGTATTTCAAGCTTGGCCTTCATAAAGGTAGATTTTACTGTCCCAAACAGAGTTTACCGAGCAACTCGTAGCGGAGCTTGGTAAAAGGGATATTTGCGACAGTAAAATAAAGCTTTACGAAAGCCAAGCATAAAATACAATACAGTCATCTTCATTTTGATGCCACAAATTAGAATAAATTCCATTTAAGTAGACATTTTGGCCTAAAAATACTATAAATGAAAAAAGTACGCGAAACTGTTACATCGTCTTTGGCATCTAAACAATGCGCGACATAGGTATACTCTCGATGTCAAACATATACACTATAGACGTTTTTATATTTTTCGTACACTTCTGAATGGTTTAAATATTGACAAAATGAAAATTTTGAGGCAATTTTTTTTACATACCAAAAAAATCAAAATGGTGGCTTTCCTTAGTTGAGGACTGGTAAAACCTGGAATCTAACCCTTCAAAATTTGTTTTTGTTTTCTAAATATTCATTTATTTATTTTTTCTGTATTATTGTTTTCTTTCTGTCTTCACTTTTCTGTCTTTTGACATAAATCCATATATATATATATATATATTAAATAGATATACCATTCTATACATGCATGCTCATACATATATTTTGTATTATATTGCTATAAATGTTGAATGGAGAAGACTTCATAAGTCTGTTTGACTTGTGTCTTATCCAATTTGTACTTGAACAAATAAAATATGTTTAAACTAAAACCCTTCAAAATATTTGTCAAAGTCCAAAGACAATTATTGTTCCAAACGAATTGTTACGTAGTGTATTAGACTGAATTTTCTAATGCAATTTTTATGAAACATTTTTTTTAATTGGCTTAAATTCGACATCAAATCCACAATAATTACATGTCGTAACTAAGGAGTGAGCCGCCGTTTTGAATTACTTGAATAAAAAAATGTTCGATGACTACAGTATAATCGAAATAAAACAATACCTACTTCAAAAACACCGTTTAAATGAGATATCGTACACATTTGAATCACAGAAGTAAGGTAATAACCTAAAGTTGAACTGTTTTCGTTTGATTAACGTCATGTTTAACCTTGACATTTATATGCCAAAATCATTCAGGAAGTTTCACGGAATTTTATTTTATTTCAAAATTTATACATTTATTCCAAGATCTAACGTATTAATTCTTTTTGTAATGCGTGGCAAGTAAAACTGCATTTGAAGTGTCATCGGAATCTCTGCTGCCTCATTACTACACTACGGTTAATACTTGATTATATTGTTACAAGTTATATCAAACTCCTATGCATTATTTATGGCGTTGTCATGGGAAGCACGTGCTGTAATGAATGTTGCCTCGCGATTGTTGTCAATCATAAGAACAGACTATTATGAAACATTCCAAGATTTGTACAAGTTATGTTATTATTCAAAATTAAATTCAACGGTTGGGATTTAAACTATATACGTTTAAGCTATAACATGATATATTGACGTTATATTTTACGTGTTTTAGCTTAAATGTTAAGTTGTAGGATAAAAACAATATTCGTATTGCAGAAAGCATATAGCAATGCATTAGAACACGAAACAAACAGGAGAAAAGCTCAATAAAGCTAGATGTTCTTTCTGTGTAAAGCTCGTACAAATAAACTTTATATATGTCTACAATATAAAAAAAAAGTTGTGATTAAATCGCCAATGCGACAACTTTTAACCAGAGACCAGATGACGTAGAAGTTAGTAACTATTAGGTCACCATACAGCCTTCAACAATGAGCAAAACCAATACCGCACACCAAGCTATACAACGCCCCTAAAATGATAGATGTAACACAATTCAAAACGATAAACGAAATACAAAAATTGCATATATATTATTTTGGATCTGTGTGCATTAATGCAGGAGGGTCTAGCATGGGTTTACAAAAAAGAAAATATTGAGCAAAAAATGAAGAAAAAAGATAAATAGGGAAAACCAATAAAGAAAAAAGATAATTAGGGAAAACCAATAAAGAAAATAAATATTGGGGTGCTTAAATATAAAGAAAAATGGACAAAAGTAAAGAATAGAAAATGACCTCAAAAATTAAATAATTCAGAAATGCACACAATATCATCCATACCCATAGCAAAGCTTAAGTGCGATCCTCATCCATTGTCCACAGGTTCCAATCTTTAACTTAAAAATATAGGCAAAACATGATATCAAATCATGGAGTTATATCCCGTTCTCTAGGCAAAACATAAAATCAAACCCATGACTTATATCCCGTTCTCTAGGCAAAACATAAAATCAAACCCTTGGACTTATATCACGTTCTCTAGGCAAAACATGATATTTAACCATGGACTTATATCCCGTTCTCTAGGCAAAACATAAAATCAAACCCGTGCCTTATATCCCGTTCTCTAGGCAAAACATAAAATCAAACCCGTGCCTTATATCCCGTTCTCTAGGCAAAACATAAAATCAAACCCATGGACTTATATCACGTTTTCTAGGCAAAACATGATATTTAACCATGGACTTATATCACATTCTCTAGACAAAACATGATATTTAACCATGGACTTATATCACATTCTCTAGGCAACACATGATATTTAACCATGGACTTATATCACGTTCTCTAGGCAAAACATGATATTTAACCATGGACTTATATCACGTTCTCTAGGCAACACATGATATTTAACCATGGACTTATATCACATTCTCTAGGCAAAACATGATATTTAACCATGGATTTATATCCCGTTCTCTAGGCAAAACATAAAATCAAACCCATGACTTATATCCCATTCTCTAGGCAAAACATGATATTGAACCATGGACTTATATCACATTCTCTAGGCAACACATGATATCAAACCATGAAGTTATATCCCGTTCTCTAGGCAAAACATGATATTTAACCATGGACTTATATCACATTCTCTAGGCAGCACATGATATCAAACCATGGACTTATATCACGTTCTCTAGGCAAACATGATATTAAACCATGGACTTATATCCCGTTCTCTGGGCAAAACATAAAATCAAACCAATGACTTATATCCCGTTCTCTAGGCAAAACATGATATTTAACCATGGACTTATATGACATTCTCTAGGCAACAGATGAAATCAAACCATGGACTTATATCACGTTCTCTAGTCTAAATATGATATCAAACCTTGGAGTAATATCACGTTCTCTATGCAAACCATGATATCAAACCATGGAGTTATATCACGTTCTCTAGGCAAAACATGACATCAAATCATGGAGTTATATCACGTCCCTAATGCAACACTTGATATCAAACCATGGAATTATATGACGTTCTCTAGGCAAAACATAATATCAAACCTTGGATTAATATCACGTTCTCTAGGCAACACATGATATCATACCATGAAGTTATATCACGTTCTCTAGGCAAAACATGATATCAAGCCATGAAGTTATATCCCGTTCTCTAGGCAAAACATGATATTTAACCATGGACTTATATCACATTCTCTAGGCAGCACATGATATCAAACCATGGACTTATATCACGTTCTCTAGGCAAAACATGATATTTAACCATGGACTTATATCCCGTTCTCTAGGCAAAACATAAAATCAAACCCATGACTTATATCCCGTTCTCTAGGCAAAACATGATATTTAACCATGGACTTATATCACATTCTCTAGGCAGCACATGATATCAAACCATGGACTTATATCACGTTCTCTAGGCAAAACATGATATTTAACCATGGACTTATATCCCGTTCTCTAGGTAAAACGTAAAATCAAACCCATGACTTATATCCCGTTCTCTAGGCAAAACATGATATTTAACCATGGATTTATATCACATTCTCTAGACAAAACATGATATTTAACCATGGACTTATATCACGTTCTCTAGGCAAAACGTGACATCAAATCATGGAGTTATATCACGTCCCTAATGCAACACTTGATATCAAACCATGGAGTTATATGACGTTCTCTAGGCAAAACATAATATCAAACCTTGGATTAATATCACGTTCTCTAGGCAACACATGATATCAAACCATGAAGTTATATCACGTTCTCTAGGCAAAACATGATATCAAACCTTGGAATAATATCACGTTCTCCAGGCAACAAATGATATCAAACCATGGAGTTATATCACGTTCTCTAGGCAACACATGATATCAAACCATGGACTTATATCACATTCTCTAGGCAAAACATGATATTTAACCATGGACTTATATCCCGTTCTCTAGGCAAAACATAAAACCAAACCATGACTTATATCCCGTTCTCTAGGCAACACATGATATCAAACCATGAAGTTATATCCCGTTTTCTAGGCAAAACATGATATTTAACCATGGACTTATATCACATTCTCTAGGCAGCACATGATATCAAACCATGGACTTATATCACGTTCTCTAGGCAAAACATGATATTTAACCATGTACTTATATCCCGTTTCTCTAGGCAAAACATAAAATCAAACCCATGACTCATATCCCGTTCTCTAGGCAAAACATGATATTTAACCATGGACTTATATCACATTCTCTAGACAAAACATGATATTTAACCATGGACGTATATCACGTTCTCTGGGCAAAACATGATATTTAACCATGGACTTATATGACATTCTCTATGCAACACATGAAATCAACCCATGGACTTATATCACGTTCTCTAGTCTAAATATGATATCAAACCTTGGAGTAATATCACGTTCTCTATGCAAACCATGATATCAAACCATGGAGTTATATCACGTTCTCTAAGCAAAACATGACATCAAATCATGGAGTTATATCACGTCCCTAATGCAACACTTGATATCAAACCATGGAGTTATATGACGTTCTCTAGGCAAAACATAATATCAAACCTTGGATTAATATCACGTTCTCTAGGCAACACATGATAACAAACCATGAAGTTATATCACGTTCTTTAGGCAAAACATGATATCAAACCTTGGAATAATATCACGTTCTCCAGGCAACAAATGATATCAAACCATGGAGTTATATGACGTTCTCTAGGCAACACATGATAGCAAACCATGGAGTTATATTATGTTCTCTAGGCAAATCATTTTATCAGAACTTGGATTAATATATCACGTTCTCAAGGCAACACATGATACCAAACCATGGAGTTGTATCATGTCCCCTATGCAAAACATGGTATCAAACCATGGACTTATATCACTTTATCTAGACAAAACATGATATCAAACCATGGAGTAATATCACGTTCTCTAGGCCGACAATGAAATCAAATCCATGACTTATATCACGTTCTATAGGCAACACATGATACATTGTATCAAACCATTTCGCCGTAAATGTATGGAAAGCTTTTTGTATACCAATACTGTATAGTAAGATATTTGTAAACCAATAATGTATAGTAAGCTATTTGTAAACCAATACTGTATGGTAAGATATTTGTAAACCAATACTGTATGGTAAGCTATTTGTAAACCAATACTGTACGGTAAGCTATTTGTAAACCAATACTATACGGTAAGCTATTTGTATACCAATACTGTATGATAAGCTATTTGTAAACCAATACTGTACGGTAAGCTATTTGTATACCAATACTGTATGGTAAGCTATTTGTATACCAATACTGTATGGTAAGCTATTTGTAAACCAATACTGTACGGTAAGCTATTTGTAAACCAATACTGTATGGTAAGCTATTTGTATACCAATACTGTATGGTAAGCTATTTGTAAACCAATACTGTACGGTAAGCTATTTGTATACCAATACTGTATGGTAAGCTATTTGTATACCAATACTGTACGATAAGCTATTTGTATACCAATACTGTACGGTAAGCTATTTGTATACCAATACTGTATGGTAAGCTATTTGTAAACCAATACTGTACGGTAAGCTATTTGTATACCAATACTGTATGGTAAGCTATTTGTATACCAATACTGTATGGTAAGCTATTTGTAAACCAATACTGTACGGTAAGCTATTTGTATACCAATACTGTATGGTAAGCTATTTGTATACCAATACTGTACGGTAAGCTATTTGTATACCAATACTGTATGGTAAGCTATTTGTATACCAATACTGTATGGTAAGCTATTTGTAAACCAATACTGTACGGTAAGCTATTTGTATACCAATACTGTACGGTAAGCTATTTGTATACCAATACTGTACGGTAAGCTATTTGTATACCAATACTGTATGGTAAGCTATTTGTAAACTAATACTATATGGTAAGCTATTTGTAAACGATTACAAGATGGAAACACTAACTTATGATATAAGCTTTATAACATAAAATGAAAAAAAAAAACATAACTGAAGGTAACCATGCAACAATAACCACTACTAAACTACGGTCTCCTGATTTGGGACAGATACATGAATAAGTCGGGATTAAACATGTTTACCTTCCTCTAACCTTGGACAGTGGTGTAACAACACAACGTTTGAACAATACGTTCCTTTTGATTTGCTTCATGCTAATTAAGATTGGTGATATTTTCTCAGCAAAGTATCTAAAAAAAGTGGTCGAGTTAACTTTTAAGTTTTTGGTATTGTGTTCTTTACAGAGTTGGAGACCTTGGTATTATAGACGATGATGTGAATATGATGAGAATTTTGAAGGAAGGCAAAGTCAATTGGGCGCAGATGAGGATGATAACAACACATTGTGAAAGTGACATCACATATTATCCTTTTGATACACAGAAATGTTCCATTGTATTATCTACTTGGTCTTATTCAAATTCCGAGGTCACTATTTTGTTTGACAACAACCCAGTTGTAATGGATTTCTTCAGTGAGAACGGGGAATGGGTGTATGCTGGGTACGGAACTTCCGTCTACACTGAATATAGAGGAGATATATTTCCTTTTGATATGGCTAAGCTAGAATTTAAATTCGTTCGTCGACCTGGTTTTATGGTAATGAACATTATATTGCCAGTGATTGGAGTAGCCATTCTGACTAGTTTTGTTTTCAAGGTAGCAGTTGATTCCGGGGAAAAGATTGGTTATTGTTTGACTGTGATGCTAGCCTACGCTGTGTACCTCACTTTAGTTGCGGATAATATGCCAACAACGTCGGTAAATATATCTATTCTCAGTAAGTTGATTTAAGTACACTCATGTAAAACGGTAGGATGTTCCTTCTATTCTGTCTGACCTTTGCACTGCTTCACCTTTGCGCTGTTTCCCAGTGTACTGGCTGCGTTATTATCTGCTGTACTGAGGCATTATCTGACATATACTCTGTTCTACCGAGGCACTATCTGACATATAACTGCTCTAATTGTGCACTATCTTACATATAATCTGCTCAACTGTGCACTATCTGATATATGCTCTGCTTTACTTATGCACTATTTCCATGTGCACTATCTAACATATCCTCTGCTCTACCGAGGCACTATCTGACATATCCTCTGCTCTACCGAGGCACTATCTGACATATCCTCTTCTTTACCTGTGCACTATCTGACATATCCTCTGCTCTACCGAGGCACTATCTGACCTATCCTCTGCTCTACTGAGGCACTATCTGACATATCCTCTGCTCTACCGAGGCACTATCTGACATACCCTCTACTGAACCGAGGCACTAACTAACATATCCTTCTGCTCTACCGAGACACTATCTGACATATCCTCTGCTCTACCGAGGCACTATCTGACATATTCTCTACCAAGGCACTATCTGACATATCCTCTGGTCTACCGAGGCACTATCTGACATATCCTCTGCTCTGCCTGTGCACTATCTGACATATCCTCTGCTCTACCAAGGCACTATCTGACATATCCTCTGGTCTACCGAGGCACTATCTGACATATCATCTGCTCTACCGAGGCACTATCTGACATATCCTCTGCTCTACCGAGGCACTATCTGACATATTATCAGCTCTACCGAGGCACTATCTGACATATCATCTGCTCTACCTGTGCACCATCTGACATATCCTCTGGTCTACCGAGGCACTATCTGAAATATCCTCTGCTCTACCTGTGCACCATCTGACATATCCTCTGCTCTACCGAGGCACTATATGACATATCCTCTGCTCTACCGTCGCACTATCTGACATATGCTCTGTTTTACCTATACACTGTTTACCTGTGCGCAATCTGACATATTATCTGATTTACTGTCGCACTTTCGGACATATGCTCTGTTTAACATATGCACTGTTTACCTGTGCACTATCTGATATATGATCTGTTTTACATCTGCACTGTTTACCTGTGCACTATCTGACATATTATCTGTTTTACATATGCACTGTTTATCTGTGCACTATCTTACATATTATCTGCTCTACCGTCGCACTATCTGACATATGCTTTGCTTTTCTATGCACTGTTTCCCAGTGTACAACCTATGAGCTGTAACAACGTTGCGCACGTTCAACTTGGAATCTCTTTCCGGATGTTATCTTTGTCTTCACCATTTCTGCAAAAGAACTTAATGACTCATGTTGGCTGGTGCTGGACAAATTTACTATATATACATATTTAAATTGTTATACATGATAAATAAGTTATATAACAGATAAAAAAATTCATAACGCCACTCCGGCTACTTGGTTACAGTTCGCGGCAGCCGTCTGTAGTCTGATTCATCATTTAAATCACCTGAATTATCATTTGTCTACGAATATTATCGAAAATTTCTGGCACCATACCTACCGTGACAAAAGTATCATCTTGATTTACTTGTTCACTTTGCGCTAGTTCTCCTTCGCCCATGCGCACAATTCCTATTTACTATCGAAGCATATATTTTGTTGGATTAGACAGCTGACTTTTAGATAAATATGAAAACAGTACCTCTGATTGACGACAGGTCATTTTCATCTACAATAGAAATGGCCAATAACCAATTAGCTAACCTCGGCAAATTCCGCCACCTTACATCTGCTGACGTGTGCCGATTGTGTCAAGAACGTAACATACATAACAATATGAGATTATAGATATTAGTATTTATTTTCAGGTCTATACAATTTAATGGTGCTGATAGCTGGTATTCTTTCTATTCCGATTACTCTGTTTATACTAAGATGTCACCATAATGTGTCAAACGACCCTGTACCAAAATGGCTGTTGTCGACAACTTACTGTTTTCAAAAGTTTCTCCGTAAGTTTCTCCGTATATCCGTATGTTGCTGCTGCAGAAAAAAAGATAAAATATCAACAGAGGTCAATATCTTGAAATCAAAAACCGTAAGCATCATCGATGTAATAGAGAACGAGGCGTACAAAATGAAACAAGATGATAAACAGGAGCTTGCATGGAGCGAAATAAGCAGAATTTGGGATGACTTCTTCTTCACCGTCTATATGATTTTTGTTATTGTCATAACAACAATAATGATGGCAACATTGCTTATTGGATATTGTGTTTACGGACAAGATGAGAGTTGATCAGACTGCTTTGAGACCTTTCTTCATCAATAACAATTCGTTAAGCAGATGTATGTTTGAAGTAATTTAAAAATCAAACACTCCTGCATTATATCAGTTGTTTTGTCTGAAAGTATAAATTTTGACAACAACAAATTGTTGAAATATAATTTCTTCCTGTTTATACCAATATAAAATAAGGAGATATGGTATGATTTCTAATGAGACAACCATACACCAGATACCAAATGACGTAGATGTTAGTAACTATAGTAACCATACCACATAACAAGCTATAAAAGGACCCGACATTATACAATGTACACAATTTTTTTCAAACGAGAAAACCAACAGCCTGATGTATGCATAACACAACAAACGAACAAAAGTAAGACGTACGGCAACAAACGAGAACCACTGAATTGCAGGTTCCTGACTTTAGACATATAGAATGTGGCGGGTTTTTAAGATGTTTGCGGTGCACAATCTTTCACTTAACCTGAGACAGTAGTGTAACTGCAAAACAAAAGAACACTAAAAAAAGCCAAGTGACTGAAAGCTAGATCAAAGCCATTAACAACTCAATAAGAAATCAGGTATCAAATACAAAATATCCGTTATTAGTAGTACTGGGAATGTCAAATCGGTGAAAGTTACCAGTAATACTGGGAATGTCAAATCGGTGAAAGTTATCAGGAGTACTGGGAATGTCAAATCGGTGAAAGTTATCAGTAGTACTGGGAATGTCAAATCGGTGAAATTCATCAGTAGTACTGGGAATGTCAAATTGGTGAAAGTTATCAGTAGTACTTGGAATGTCAAATCGGTGAAAGTTATCAGTAGTACTGGGAATGTCAAATCGGTGAAAGTTATCAGTAGTACTGTGAATGTCAAATCAGTGAAAAATACTTATCGGATACCTGTTGGTTTAACTTGCGATACCCGAGTACTCGCTCGGTAAAATATTTACAAAATGGGATCACAAATTGTGCAACCATGGGTCAGACACAGCTCAATGAATTAGCACTGATGTACGTGTTTGATACATTGCAATTTAACAGTTTCATTTTGATGTGACCTTTGAAACTTTCGCTCGCAGACATCTAAGAAAATTTTAAGTCTCGATTGCCATTTCGTTGTGAGAAGGCGAAATAATTTACGATCGACCTACGTGGAAAGCCTACTACGAATGATTCCGACAACAGAAATAAACGTGTCGTACACCATTTTGCAGATAATTTAATGTAGGTTTACAAAATAACAAGTTTCAGTGGTATAGACAACCGAGGAATCGAAATATAACGAAAGTTCGCGACCAAGTGTCATTTCTCAAAAAAGCTAGTTGGATACCTCGTGTTAAATGTAGCAATAAAGATATTTTCTCAGAGATAAGTGACTGTGGTCAATACATATTTGGTTATGTTGAAATGTGTTGTTATGAAAACAATCAATGTCAGTACCGTTAAAAAACCAATATTTAAAGACCGTTCTAGTGTTAAAATGATAATCCTTTAGCATAATTTTATACGAAAAATGGGATGGGTGTACCTAAATTTTCATGCTCTAATAGTATGATGATGATGATGATGATATTGATGATGAAATCAGATCTTTGATAGTCTGTTAATTTCATTAAATACTTTTCTAGACTCCGTACTTAATCAATAGGTCTTATCATACCTCATCCCTTGTTAGTAACCTGTTGACGGTAAGTGATTAATTGATTGCAGTTACTTTCCCTTTAAACAATTCATAATTTCCAATGAGAACATTTTCCCTGAAAAAAATTGACGTTACGAAGCAAATATTTTCGAGTCACAATGTCCTATCCATTGTCAACCGGAACAGTGCATTCATCAAAAGGAGATTAGAAACTCGGCAATAAGGCTGCCCACCATCTAAATAATTGATGGGTTGTTGTGAGCACAGCGAAGGTTATAAAGAGGCGTTGAAGATAAAATCTATAAATAAAAATGAACATAATATGAAAATAGAAAATGGTCTTCTAAATGGCTTATGTTATTTAACCCAGATAAAACCGAAATTATGATTTTTTCAAATATTGAGACTTCAGACCTTAGCTTTTCCTTAAATGGTAAAGATATACCTTTAAGTACATCTCATAAGCATCTGGGAGTTAATTTCAGTAGTGACGCAAAATGGAACAATCATATTGAAAGTAAAATTACAAGTGTAAAGAAACACTTAAATGTTTTACGTAAACTTAAATACCGATTATCTCGAAACAATTTAGAAAAACTATACTTAGTTTTTATTCGACCCATTTTTGAATATGTCACTGAAGTGTGCGATAATTGTGGAATATGCTACTCAAATAAATTGGAAAATTTGCAATTAGAGGCCGCAAGAATAGTAACCGGTCTACCAATATTTACTAAAACTGAAACTTTATATTCTGCGGTTGGTTGGGAATCTCTTTTTGAAAGAAGAAGGAGAAGAAAATTACAGATGTTTTATAACATTAATCAAAAGCATGCACCAGAGTACCTATGTAATCTTGTACCTTCACGTGTACAAAGTACAACCAACTATCCGTTGCGAAATGGTCATGATATTATTGTTCCATTTTGCAGACTCTCCTTACTACTAAATCGTTTATTCCCTCTACAATACGTGAATGGAATAAACTTGATTCAAAAATTCGCAGTGTCGACTCTTTTTCTAAATTTAAGAAAGAAATGAAAAACGATAGTCTACTAAGTAAAATTGAAACGTTTTATTTGTACGGCCCGAGGAAATTGAATATTTTCTTAACGCAATTGCGATGCTCCGCATCATTCTTAGACAATGTCCTTTTTCGAGCTAATATTATAAATGATCCTTCTTGTCATTGTAGGTCAAATATTGAGGATGTCCATCATTACTTCTTCGTTTGTGTTGTGAAGGTTTTTATTTTCCTTTTTGTTCGTATACTTCACAGGGGAACACTTGTTAAGGTGGGACTATGATTGTGCTTTATGACTTCTATATTGATAAACATGATGGTGATTTCCCTTCTCTCGTTTGTTAAGTTCTTTTACGGTTCCTGTAGGTAGAAAGATGTCTGGGCATCTGGGGACTACATGTCGTTGTTATGGACTGGCTTGGCAGCGAGAGTGGGACTCGCGCCTTCCGACCCTTTTTAATGAAATAAATAAGACAACTCAATTTGCTGGTAGGAACAAGGATAGTTTAATTATTCTTTTCTTTTCTTTTTGATCATAAAATATCACAGTGCATAAATCATACAGATTAACAATAAATAACATTATCAGTTGACAATAACATATGTATTTCTATTTCAAATATTGCTTGAATTACCTTGTAAACTGCGTTCAGTCTATTTGTTATACATGAGTGAATAACCTCATGAAACGCAATGACTAAAATGTTATATCTGAATATATATATATTTATATTTATATTTATTGAATTATATAGCAATTAATTTCTTTCTTTAAATAAGTTTAAGTAACAGTATATAACTTACCTTTTTAATGAAATAAATAAGACAACTCAATTTGCTGGTAGGAACAAGGATAGTACGGGCAGTAGACTTATATTTGCTTTTATAGTCACTATTGAATACCCGACATTCTTGTTCCCCAGCCGAAATTGAGCTTCTTTTGCAAACGATGGAATTTGCTGCCAAAACATTTATTACTTCATAATATGCAAAATGCATTTATTTGTTTTTGAGAAGCATCAGAATTATGTTTTCTAAAATTAAAAAGAATAATATTTTTGGAAGAATTTTAATTTCTGATCTTAATAATAAAAGATAATTAAAAATTTGTTAAATTTTAATTATTATCTTGTATACATCAATCTTCGTATCTCAGCTGTTTGATTGGTTGTTAATAACATTCTCGTGTGCCTTAATGTATTACTGAATATTCATGACTCTGAGAATATGGTTATAACCTTGGATGTAATAGCAATTCGACATCCATCTGTCCGGCAACATAATAACCTTCTTTACGCGTGCCAAATAACTTATTTAATAAGGTTCTTGACTTTGTACTATTACTGATTATCTTGCATCTAAGATAAAGTTCGTTATTCTTAAGAATCTTAATCTATTTTATTCATGTATTTTCTTCTTATATCAACGAATTATTTGAAATTTATATTCCATTTTACTTTTCACTATCTTAAAAAACTAGAAATATATTTGTTTGTTTAACTAATATCTCCTTGATTTTAATTTCTTATTATTTCGAATAACGTCCTAAATCCTTTCATAACATTACCCCCTTGTTAGGTTTGAAATCTCCTGATTTCAATTTTTTGTTTATAACATTTTTGTTTTGACACTATTAATATCCTATTTTTTTTTGTGTAAGGTAATTTTTATCTATTTAAATTTTCTTGCAATAAATGAAACATAAATACATACACATACATAAAAATATAAAATGCATTCACAATCATAATAAATTTTATCAATCAAAAGGTGCCGATCTTCTTCTGTGGAACTGAAGTCCACCTGCGAAATATTGGAGATCTGTCTCTGGATGTACTCCAACTCGCGACAATGAGCCATATGGGGATCTGTGTTTTATGTACTCCACATGTAAGGGAATTAAAAAAAAATCACTCTCTCTCTCTCTTAGTCATTTGTACCTCAGTGAATTTAAGTTAATATGTTTGTTATAAAGTTTATACTAATGATTTTATTTTTAGTAATTTTTGACTATTTATTTATAAGATCGGTCTTGATCGTATGAATTCCTCCAGTTTAATATAATTTTTACATTTTTTTTTTTTTTTATTTATTTCATTTTTTTTTTATTTTACTTCATTGATGTTTTTTTTTTATTATTATAATTTTTAATTCGTTTATTTCTCTACTCACCTTTGTGTGCGTTAGAATTGTAATAAAATCTGTGTTAAGAATATATAGGTAATCATTATAATCTGATCTGTTATTGAAGTTAATCTAACTATTTGTCTATATGATAGATTGTTCAGAAATCTCAACCTGTTTCTGAAGGCAAATGTTTAGAATAACGTTTCTTGATTGCTCTCGCGTGCCAAAAAAAATGTATTGCACTCTTGATTCTTTATCAAAACATATGTTTATATCTCTGACCATCTTACATTACGTACTTATCAACAAAGTACCAACAAAGTACCAACGCATGTTTAATTGTCTGACAAATTATTTTCTATTATAATCTCGGTCATATATTTATATAGTTTGCACTTCACTCTCTAAATTGTATTATGTATTTATCGCTTACTTTTTTTTAAATATCTTCGTCGACTACGCTTTTAATATTTTTTTCTTTTAGTTAAACGACTACAACAAAAACGAAAAGGATATGCTGCAATTGCTACAATGTATAAACATCTTTTATTTAGAGTGATTTAATCATTTTGTCCACTCGAGTAGACTATGAGCATGTTGCCTTGGGCTCTTATTTTTGCTCATTGGTTGGGATTTTGTCTCCTTGACATTTTCCTCGTTTCCATTCTCAATTTTATTAATATAATTTTCAATTCCATACTTAATTCTTTTGGACATCAATTAAGAGTTCGTACTACTCGGGATCTAGGTTAAATATGTTCTTGCTTTATTATCTAATCTTGAGTTATACTCTTTTATAAGAGACACATTATATTACGTCTCGAGTTATATTTTTCTAAAACAGACCTAATATTGCAAAAGTTAACCTTTTTCATCACCCATTGAAAAGGTCAGAACTGAGAAGTACACTTAACAAACGTAGTAACATCACTCCTATTACCCTTGCCATGCCTACAATATAAAAGGATCGAAGTTAGGTACCGTAACTTCAAAATTATAGGCAACATAACGTTTTCGGCAGAAGGTAATTTTATCACTACGCTGAAGTCTTCCTCTTAGACAGTTCTACCCATGAATGAGATTAAATAGAATACAATGTTTAATATCGTCGTTTTTTCTTAAAACGATTTTGAATTACGGTTGAATTATACATTTGAAACATTACCATTTGGTTCCCAAGTGGGGGTAGATCCGTCTGCCCATTGTACCAAGTAATGTCTTTTACCTGATATAAATTTGGATTTTAATAATTTAGTCACTTCAAACCACGTGTTCTTTGTTGAGTTATCGTTGTTACTATTTTTAGTACCATCAGGTGTATTGTCTGATTTCTTATCAGAATTACTGTTATCTCTTTGTTTATTTATACTAGTATCACGTGTCTGTGATTGCTGTACTGATTGATCTGACGCAACTTTTGAATAGACTGGTGTGTCTGATACATTATTGTCGTCAGCCTTATCATCAATACGCGGATCCGAATGATTATCAGCCTGTGGTCTGTAATCTCGTGGATCTTTGTACGGTTTTAACCTATTAGCAT